GGTGGTGGGGTCGGATTGCAGATGGCGGAAGTGTCGGAGGATGATGCATTGGATCCGGAGGTTGATGGGGTGGTACGTGAGGACGAGGGGGATTCTTTTTTGGTTAGATGTCTAGGATTATTCAGGGCTGGATAAGAAGGACAAGAGAGGGTTTTAACAGGTACAAAGGGAGCAAATCAACCGAGGATCTAGTGGACTACAGAAAGCGGAGGGGAGAACAGAAGAAATCAATTAGGAAAGCAAAAGGGGGACATATAAAAAAAACACTGGTGGGCAAGATTAGGGCGAATTCAAAGATACCCTATGAGTACATCAAGGGGAAAAAGGATAACTCGGGAAAGAGTAGGGCTCGTTAGGAACCTAGAGGGCAGTAGGTATGCGGAGCCAGAGGACATTGGTAGGACATTGAAAAAGTACTTCACATCTGTCCTCATTTGAGAGGAGAAAGATGAAGGGCACAGAATTCAGGAAGAGGAACTGAGGTATTTGAGCAGCTTGACATAGGGAGCGAGAAGATATTGGAGGTTTTTGGCAGGCTTATTAGCAGATAAATCCCTAGGTCTGGAAGAGTTGTAAGCCAGGCTGCTGTTCAAGACGAAGGAGGGAATTACAGGGGTCTGATTCAAATTTTTAATTCCTCTCTGGCCTCAGAAGAGGTGCCAAGGGACTGGAGGACAGCTAATATGGATCCACTTTTCAAGACTGGTGGTAGACATAAACCAGGGAAATAAAGACCAGTGAGTCTCATATCATAGATAGGGAAGCTGTTGGAGAAAATTCCGAAGGAGAGGCAAGATTTATTCAGGGATTGGCAGCATTGCTTTGTCAAAGGACATCATGCGTAACAAATTTGGTTGAATTTTTTTTTGAGGAGGTCACCAGATGTATAGATGAGAGTTGATGTTGTTCGTATGGATTTCAAAGGTTTGCCAAGGTCCCAAATGGGAAGTCGATAAAAGAAGGTAAAAGCACGTGGGCTCCAGGGTAACTTGGAAATTTGCAGCTAAAATTGGCTGTGTGATAGAAGACAGAGGGTGATAGTCGAAGGCTATTTGTGTGACTGGAGGTGGGTGTCCAGTGGTATACCACAAGGCTCAGTACCAAGTCATCTATTATTCATGATACATATAAACGATACAGAAGAGGATATTGTTTTGGGGGGTTGGGGCGGAGAACACCCCTTGAATGGCAGAACACTAGGAAGCTCAGAGGAACAAAGATCTTAGGGTGCTTGCCCACAGTTCCCTCATGATAGAAAGGGCACGTTCATGGGGTAGTTACGAAGTTCAAAAGTAGAGAGCATATTTTTAAAGGTGAAAGGAGAAAGCTTTCAAAGGGATCTGAATGGCAACATTTTCACACAGAGGATAGTTCATATAGGAAATGAACTGCCAGAGGAAGTGGTATATGCAGATACAGTTACAACATTTAAAAAGATATTTGGTCAAGTACATGACTAGGAAAGCTTTAGAAGGATATGGGCCAAACACAGGTAAATGGGACTAGTTCAGTTTAGGAAAATTGGTCGGCATAGACAAGTTGGACTGAAGGGTCTGTTTCTGTGTTGTATGACTCTATGACTTTATAGTTTTCAACAAAAGAATAAACTTATCTCAGTCCTTTGGAGAAGTAGGAGGTCCCTTTTGGAGAGATCCATGGACAGCTTTGGAACAAGTATACGTCAATGTGCGTTAAACACTGAATAAACTAATTGGAACAGTTGATGCATTCAACGTCAAGCTGCCATGGAACGTTTTATAGCAAAAGGTGGGTGGGGGGCATAGGTTGGCATAAAATTGACTTATTGGCAATAAAAGCAAAAAATAAAGTGTTGAGTAGAGTAGTTGACTGTGAGATGGCATGGAATAAGGTGTCAGAGATTGAGGAGGTGTGACAGATGAGGGTTAGAGGCAATGCATCATTCTTTCTTTGCAAGTCCTGAAGCACTCAGACTGGCATTTTACACAACCACCTCTCTACCCAGTAACCCCTGTGACTGCCTCTATTCTTTTCGGGCAGCGATGGGCTTGACATGTATTAACAGCCACACCCAGCCACATCACCACTCGCAAGAAAATCTGAACACATGGAGTAATTTTTCCCAAGTCAGGTTTGTGGAGTCAGAAATTTTGCAAAATTCAGGCCATAATCAGTCATGATTATGACTGAAATCAGTCATTTAGGACGGAGTTGAGAAAGAGTTTCTTCATTTGAGGAGTTGTCAATCTTTAAAATTCCATAATCTATACCTAATAGGATAATGGATACTTAGACAGAGTATTTTAAAGAAGGACTTGCATACGTTTAGGAATGTAAAACCTCAGAATATCACAAAACATTTTACAGCTAATGAGGTGGTGTTTTTAAAAGTGCAGTCACCATTCTAATGTGAGAAATACAGAAGCCAATTTGCATACAACAATCCTTTTATAACGTTGAGATAAATATTGACCAGGACAAGGTAGCTTTTTCAAAATATGCTATGTTTCTTATATTTGCACTTGAGGGGACAGACAATGTTGCTCTCACAGGACTGCATTAAATTGTCAGCTTTGACTTGAACACAAGTCCTAGAATATGACAAATCCACAATTTTCTGATTCAGAGATGAAAGTTCTATTAACTGAGGTAAGGGTGCGATTGCTAAGGTTTTGAACTCAAATTTTATCAAAAAAAATCAAGCGTCAAAATCAGGCAGGAAAGTGGAACTGAGATTGAAGATCATTATGATCTGAATGAATGGCAGAACAGGCTCCAAAAGGGCTATAATCCTGCCCCTACATATAGTCTTATGAGAATAGTAACATAGTTCAGGATTACACAAGACTGACTGGTAACATAGGGAGCCACATAAACAATGAGTTTAAAGTAGAAAATGTGAAGGAATATATCTTGATAGGATAAATAAGACAGTGTATTCCAAACTAAACCATTTTGAAAGAAATGGAGAAATAGAGACCTGAGCATAGTTGAACAAATCTTTGAAAGCAGATAAATTGAGAAGGCTGTTTATTTTGTTGCATTATTAGAGTTTGAGTTCAAAAACAAGGAGGTTATGCTAAACTTTCAGTATCCACTGGCTATGCCTGAATATGGAGTATAATTACAGAAAAATGTCAAATTTTTAGACAGGAACCAAAAAAATTATAGAATTGTACTGGAGATGATGAACTGTGGAGAAACTTGAAACTAAGGTCATTCTTCTTATAAAAGGGGGTTAAGGAGAGATTTGTTGGGAGGTGTTCAAGAATATGAACAGTTCTGACAGAATAATGGGGTAATCATTTTACATAGTAGATGGGTCAGGTGGGTGATGCAATCAAGGAACCATAAGTGGTATTAGTGCTAAATATATAGTCAGCATTGTGATCGAGAAGGCATTATCTGAAAGAGTGGTGGAAACAGATAACAGTAATTTTGAAAAGTGGACTGGAAAAATACGTTGAAGGCAAAAAAAAATTCAAAATGATAGGGAGTGGAATTAATCAATTTTTTTTTAAAACAAACAAGCTAGCATAGACACACTGGGCCAACTTGGTCCTGCATCATTCCTTATTCTCCACTGAAGGCCGATAAATAAAATCTAAATGCAGTACTCATTGGGATCAGTTATTTCCAAACATACCTATATGATGGTCACCCAAGTGGCATCTTTACCCAGAAACACCGTATATGACATAGGAATGGTCCAAGCAGATTAACATCCTAGAAGTTGCATTACACAATAATAATGGAACTGCATGATTAGCCATGAGCAGAAAACAGACTAATGTAAAATTACATTTTTCTCAGATTACAACTATGTGACTGGTAGCAAATAGAAACCTATGAGACCATACCTGAGGTAATTCATCATCTTCACTTTTCTCTACTTTTGGTTTCTTGAGTTTTACATCTGAACTAAAAATAACAAAGAAGAAATGTATTTTCTAAAAATGTACATAGGTAATGATCAGAATATTTAAGCAATGTTGACCATTATTGTTGGAATCTATTCATTTAAATGCACACGCATCTTCCATTTTGAGGTATCTAGATTCAACTCTACTTGACATTAATCCAGGAATCTGGTTCTCATGGCTTAGTGGGATTTTAGACAAATGAATTATTTCACGACCTTAGATTTTGTTTTTATTATAACTTGATCACAATTTCCTTTTCAGAAAGAAACTTTTGGTATTTTGATGTCTTTTGTTTAGCTTCTTAAATGTCTAAGTACTTTATGCACACGTAACCACTTTGAAATACAATATAATGACAGAATATAAATGGGATGCTGCAGTCATTTGCTGTTTATAGCATATTCCTATCTGCAAATGTGACAAATGTCCAATTCATCTTTTTGCATCCAGCTATCGGAGTGTGCAATATTGACCAGATGCTAAAACTGTGCATTCAAGTTGAGGCATTGAATCTTTAACATGCACCTGAAAAAGAGACAAGGGCCTTATGTAAGTCCCTCACTTTCTCAGTGCCAGTATGTTAACCTAGAATGGAGTTCAAACTTAGAAATATCTATATTCAGAAGACAGAACTAAGCAAGCTGATACTTAGAACATGTTCCTTCAACATAGGTTAGCATCTGATCCCACAGCAACCTGGACATTCCCACACAGGCAAAGCACAAGTTACTACGTGTGCTACTGTGCAAAATAAATTTAAGGACAAGTGAGAATATTATCTTCAGTTTTGCTCCATGATCACAATGCAACAGAGTATGTTGAAAAGGTTCAACTGTAAGACCCCTATTCAAGTATATTGCTTATACAAAGAATGGTAAATTTTACTAGCATGCCTGGAATTTGTAGATGGAAAAACTTGCATTTATACAGTACTTCTGGCAAATTGAAAAAAAAAGGTGACAGGCTAACTCACATAAACATTATAATTTGTTTTTAAAAATGTTACAGGAGGAGATAAAGGGAAGTTAGATTACCAAAAATTGTACAGGAATTCCTTTAAAAAAGGAGGAAGGAGAGTCAGAAGAGGATGGAAGGAGTAAGGAGGGGGGAAATTCCAGAGCTTAAGGTCTAAAGAACCGAATGCATGGTTATCTTTTGTGGAGGGATCATAAACAGCGACACACATCAGGCCAGAATTAAAGGAGTGCAGAGACAGGTTACAGCATAGGGGAGGGATTAACCATTACAGATTTGGAAAATAAGGATGAGAATTTTAAAAGATGCTGCTTGACCAAGTACCAACATTGACCAGTGATTACAGAGCAATAATTGAACAGGATTTAGCATGATTTATAACGTGCAAATTTTTGGATCTCATGAAATTCATCATGAGTAGAAAAGGGAACCAGCTAGGAATGCACTAGCATAGTCTACTCTGGAGGTAATAAAGGCATGAATGAGGGCTTCAGCAGCGGATGAGCTGAAAACTGAGGTGATATCAGGTAATGTTATATTGATGGAAATTGGTGGTCTTTGTGATGGTATGAATATAGGAGGTCACAGTACATAATCAAGAAATAACTCACCTTTGTGCAAGAGTCAAACTCAGATTTAAAACCTCAAAATCCTTATATTTCCCCACACGTCACTTGAACAAACCAACACCTTATTTTTGGTTTGAAAATCCTTCATGATCCACAGAAATATAGAAGGAGTAGGCCATTTAGCTCCTGGAGTCTGCTCCAACGTTCAACATGATCATGGCTGATCATCCAACTCAGCGCCGCGTTCCCACTTTCTCCCCAAATGCTTTGATCCATTTTGCACTAAAAACTATATCTGAATGCTTTCAAGGAGACATCAATGTTTCAGCCTCAACTGCTTTCTGCAGGAGAGAGTTCCACAGTCTCACCACTCCCCGTGAGGTAATTTCTCCTTATTTTAATTCTTTAACTGTGATCTTAAATTGTTAGCAGATAATCTGGGAAGGCTGGTCACTGCTGAATTCAGAACCATGGCCAGCAGCCAATGTCAGTTTAAAATTTTTGAGAAGATTTGTAGTTCGGGTTGTGGATGAAGTTGTAGCCATACTTGCCGAGCCGGTGTGTTTTTGTTGCAGACATTTCATCACCCTGCTAGGTAATATAGTCAGTGCACCTCCGGCTCAGTGAGCAAGTCGACAACCTCAGCTAACGTCAGTGTCAGCAGCTCCAAAAGACCCAATTTAGATTTTAATCCCCTGAAAGAATTACTTATGTAAATGTTAACCCCTTATTTTCACCTAAAGACATGGTATCAAAGAACGCGGCTTTTACAAGAGCATATATGGTAAGCGTCACCAAATTTGTAAACAAGCTTAAGGCTGGGAGAGCGATGCAAGATAAAGCAGGAAATTGAAAATATTAGCTTCAATGTGACTGTCTAATGAAAGGAAATTTCTGCATATTCAATACTGGATGCCAATAAAGCAGTCCAATAGTTTAGGACCAGCAGAGGGGTTGACACTGGTGATGTAGATCTGGGTTATTTGGGGATGGCCGTGCAAATAACAGAAGTCTGAAAAGTTCCTGGATCCTAAAATCAGACTCCCGAGAGGTTTCAGGCACTGTTCAGGGTTTTCAGAAGCAAATCTTTAATTGGCACAGAGATAATTTACCTGTCTGATTTAGGACAGCAGACAGGCTTACAATTTGGGAGGTTCATTCTGAAGTCTTTACGCAAGAGAGGAACTTTAGCCCACAATGAATGGCAAGTAACAGAGTGCTTCATCATTGATGTACTACCACTTGGATCAACAATATAAAAATAATGTTTGAACAATAAACAAAAAGGTACACAGACCATTACTGAGGAGGTTACCCATCCAGGCAGGCATAGACACCTGTGAGTTAGCCTAGAATAATGAAGCCTTAGTTATTCTGCTTCCAGGTACTTAAACTGCACCCTCATCCATCAGAGTTTTGTACCGGAGATCAACTAGAAAACCAAGGCTCCTAACAAACCTGACTGACTACCTTCCTTGTAGTGGCAGGCAGCCCTACCACAAGATAAATAGAAGAAAACGTGCAGGGTCAGGACATCTTAGGCTGTTCTGGCTAAGTGAAGGCCTACAGCTCAGTCTGTTGTTGCCACTCAAGACCTACCTGCACATTTTTAAGGAACAGACAGCTGCTATAAATGCAGCTCAACATTCTATATCAATGTAATAAAATCTGCCTAGAGCAGAACAGGTTTACTAACAATCCCCAATTGTATTTTGGGTCCTAAATTCATCTGATGCTCAATCTCAGACATTTTCCTCAGACAATGGCAGAGATTAGATAAAACATGCAATTAGCTCATTCCGCGGCCTTCCAATTTTTATTGTCCAGTCATTTCTGTACTCTTAACCATTACATCAGTATAAAGTGGTCTTCATTATTACTGCTTCAATAGTATCTAATTTCCTTTCTTCCATTTCAATGTTGATTAATGTATTTCTTTCTTAGCTCCTACATCACTGTGAAATAAAGCACTTAACGATGTTCTAAGCACCAAACTCTAAACCGCTTCATCCACTCTTGCCTCGGTTTCCTCCCAGTGCATGTTGTGCACTCTAGTCATTCTAGAAGACTACTGGGTAAATTGCCAAGGGAAACTGAAGTCACATTCTCAAGTGTGACATCATTCAACCTCACAAAGAAGGTTTGATTAAATCTTAAAAATTCTCAGGACTACTCTCCAAATTATTTAGAGGAAAAGAAGTTGATACAGTACCCAAATGGTTATGGTGCTGGATCGACAATACATGGGTCACCAGTAAAAACTTATTTAAAATTGTGAAAATGAAATCCAGAATCAAGTACCAGGTAAAATGACTGCAAAAGCTATAAGCGACCGTCAACAGGAGCTTGAACTGGTGTCAAATAACTACTTATTGAAATGAAATAAAAAGGATTCCAAGAGCAAGAAGCACTGGGTTTGTGTACTTTTGTTACTCCAATGTGATAAGACAACAAAGATTCAAAATAACTTACAAGCTATCTAACAACTTCACTTGGATACACTTAAATATAAAATGATGTGCATCAGGGCTTAATCTGTTGCACAGGAGGCTGTATCTTCTGCTGTGAAGACTTATGATAAGGCATCGCACTGTAAGCAAGTCAGTCCCCATGGAGGAATTGCACTTTTCTGAGTGCACGTATCGAGGAGAGAAAAGAGAGTGGGGCAGGCAGTGTATTTTTTTTTAAAAAGTTCATTCATAGGATGTAGCTTCACTAGATGGGCCAGCATTCATTATTCATCCCTAGTTACCCTTCAGAAGGAGATGGTGTGCTGCCTTCTTGAATCATTGTGTTTCATTCAAAGTAGAGATATAGCAGTGATGTTAGAGATGGAATTCTAGGATTTTAATCCAGAGATAAAAGGAACAGCAATATACTTAAAAAGTCAGGATGGTGAGTATCTTGGAGAGAATCTTGCAAGTTCTAATACTCTTTGTGGATCTGCTGCACTTTTCCATACAGATGGTAGGGGTCATAGGATTAGAAAGAGCTGTCTAAGAAGCCTTGGCGAATTTCTGCAGCGTATCTTGTCTCGGTGTCAGTTGTGGAGGGTGTGAATGTTTGTGGTTGTGGTATCAATCAAGAGGGCTGCTTTGTCTTGGATAGTGTCAAGCTTCTTCAGCATTGTTAAAGTTGCATTTATCCAGGCAAGTGGGGAGTATCCCTCAGACTCCTGACCTATGCCTTGTAGATGATGGGTAGGCTCTGCGGAGTCAGCAAGTGCAGAATTCCTGGAATCTGACCTGTTCTTGTAGCCAAAGCATTCATTTGCCTGGCCCAGAACAGATTGGTTTGTGGTCAATGGTAATCCCCAGGATATTGAATAGATTGATTAGAAAACATCCACCTTGAAGGACTCTTGCACAGTGAAAAACAAAGTTGAAGCATTTGCAACCATCTGTAGCCAGAGATGTCAAGTAGATGATCCACCTCTATCTCTGACTGAGGTGCCAAGATTTACTGGGGCTGAAATGATGGACCTCCAACAACCACAATGCTCTTTTTGTGCGAGGTATGACAACGACCAGGAGATAATCTTCCCTGAATTCGATGGATCTCTTGCAAAGCAAGAATCATTGAAACGACAAGGTCAAATGCAGCCATGATGCGACTCTCACTTCCTCTCTAGAGATCTGCTTTTTTGTCCATGGTTGACTGAAGGCTATAATGAGACAGAAATTAAGTATTGACAGCACAACCCAAACTGAGCATCAGACAGCATGGTATTGCTATACAAGAGTTGCTTAGTAGGTATGTTGATGAATCCTTCCATCCCTTGGCTGATGAAGAGTACACTATTGAGTAATAATTGTCCTGATTAGATTTGGCAAACTTTTTCTGTATGCAAAATAGAAGGGTACTTTTCCACATTGTCAGGTAAATGTTAGTGTTGTAAGTGTACCGGCTGAGTGGACAGCAAGTTCTGGAGTTCAAGCCTTCAAATTATTACCTGATTATTATTAAGGCCTGTAACCCTTGCAGTATCTAGTGTCTTTAGCTATTTCTTGATGACACAGGTCCCAAGCATTACAGATGCTCCACAAGTAGGAGAAAGAGAAGAACCATTCACTCTATTCTGGCTGAAGACTATTGCAGATCCTTCATTTTTAATTTTTGCACTGATATGCTGGGTCCCCCATTCACTGAGGATGGGAACAATCCCTCCCAACTATCTTGCTTCCACCTCTGGTGGTTCTGCCAATTGGACAGGAGATGGCCAGAGATGGTGATATTGTTGCCCGGAATATAGTCATTATCAAGAATTGTAACTGTTTCTTGACTAGAGTGAGCCAGGTCTCCCAATTTTGGCATTAGTTCCCAGAAGGTTAGTAAAGAAGGATTTGCAGAGTAAGTCTAGCTTTGTTGTTTCCAGTGCCTAGGTCAGGTGTTCCATCCACTTCTTTTGTGGAGACCTTTTAGAGGCTTAATACAACTAAGTGGTTTGCTAGGCCATTTCAGAAGACAACTAAGCATATTTCTGTGGGTCTGAATTCACACGTCAGCCAGACGAGGTAAAGACAGCAGATTTCTTTCCCTAAAGGACACATGATAATTGACAACAGTTTCATAGTCATCATTACACTTTTAAAATCCAGACTTTTCTAAAATTCAAATTGCACTCTGCCATATTGATACTCAAACCCAGCAGCCAGGGTGTTATCTCAGTTTCTGGATTACTGGTCTAGTGACAATACCACAGTGCAATCACCTCTCCAAGTTATTTTGTGAGCAAATTCTGCTTGATAGCACCTTCCATCAGTTTGCCAATGATCAAAAGTAGATAAATATATTGGTTGGATTAAATTTATTCTGCTTTTCTTGTGCACGGGAAACAACTGTACTATCTTCTGACTTATTGGGTAGTTAAAGCAAACAGATGCATTCTGACAATCAACTGTTTCTTGAGATCATGTAAAGTGAACAGAATTAATTGAAGACTTGCTATTTGTCATGGTGGAGACCACAGGAAAATGCAGATATGAATTACTGAGTGCTTCTGGCTGAAGACAGTTTCAAATGTTGTCGATTCAGCTTTTATTCTCTCACACTGCCATCACTGAACATAAGAATACTCATGAAACCTTCTCCTCGGGTTAGATATTTGCCTACCATGACTCATGACAGTAAACAGGACAGTGTGGAGAGGTATTTAGATGTATATTAATGACACCAAGGCATGCAAGGCTATGAGCCAAGTGCTGGAAAACAGAATTGCACTGGTTAGGTGGTTACTTTTGACCTTTTTCTATGTTGTAGACCTCCTGGCTGCAGAGCTTTGAGTTGACCCATTGATTACGGGATCACTTAACTGTCGTTTCAAGCTGCCGTGCTATTAACGAGCACATAGGTTCCAATCAAATGAAGTTGTGAAACCTAACTTTCGAGTACTGATGCCGCTTCCAAAACAGTCTCCAACACTCCTGATTGAATCTGGTCACTTGGCTGTATGGGAATGACAGAATGAGGGATATGCTAGGTCATAAGACTGTACATTGCAGTGGAATGCAATTCTGTTGCTGTTGATGGTTTACAGAAAGTTGGATGTTGAATGGATGTCAGTTTTTGAACTGCCAGATCCATTGTGAGTCTATTCCATTTAGCATAGTGCTGGTGTCACTCTGGATACTGTCATCAGAGAAGACAGTGAGAAGACGTGGCACGGTGGCTCAGTGGCTAGCACTGCTGTCTCACAGTGCCAGGGTCCCGGGGTTCAATTCCACCCCCGGTCGACTGTCTGTGTGGAGTTTGCACATTTTCCCTGTGTCTGTGTGGGTTTCCTCTGGGTGCTGTGGTTTCCTCCCACAATCCAATGATGTGCAAGCTAGGTGGATTGGCCATGCTAAATTGCCTGTAGTGTTTCAGGGATGTGTAGATTAGATGGGTTCTAGGGGGATGGGTCTGGGTAGGATGGTCTGAGGCTCAGTGTGGACTTGTTGAACCGAACTGTAGGGATTCTATGAAGATAAACTTAGCTTCCATAAGGAATCTAAGCATCCATTCCTACAAAACTTTCATGGATGGACAGATTAATCTGTGACAGAAAAGTTAAGACGACAAGATGAAGTAGTTATTTAAATCACCTTGGTTCTCTCACCACTGGCGACCATTCCAGTTCAACAGGTATGTCCTTCAGGACTGTCTCAGTAGTGATGCCACTTTTAGTGCTGGATATTGAAGATCCCCATTCAGATACCACACTAGACCATTGCTAGTTTTAGTGCTCCTTCCCAAAAGGATGTTCATCACAGATGATTATTGATTAATCATCAGGTAGAGCATAGCATGTAGCAAATAGCATACTTCTTTGCTCATATTCAACAATGTCATGAGAATTCACCCTTTTAGAATTAATGTTTATGACACAAAAGGCCAAGTGCACTCCTCTTTGGTGTAATGTCTCTTAGACCTGTCCTGCTAGTAGATCAGTACGTATCCAAGGATGGTGATGGACGAGTACAGGATATGGCGTATAACTATATCAGGCTGTTGCTTGGCTGATACGTGGCACAGCTTTCCAAATTTGCTAGCAAGGAAGACTTTGTAGGATCAAATGGGCTGTATCTAGTATCCAAGTCGGTGCTCGATGATGTGTCTAGTGTCAAGACCATGGATCATACCCCAGATCACCCATGAACAGATCAAACTTAAAAACAAAGAGTTCTTCTTAAAAAGGATAATTGAGGTTCCTTTTAAAAGGCTATTTCAACTAATTCATGGGACTGCTTGGGAAGAATTATTTCTCGAATGGGAGAATCCAGAAGGAGGAGGCATGATCTTAAGATTGGAGTTAGGATTGTTTTAGGAAACAAACAAGTTAAAGTCTTCTTTGCTGCAGAAAGAGTAATGGAAATCTACAACACCTACAGATGGTAGGAGTCATAGGATTAGAAAGAGCCGTACCAATTGAAACTTCCAAGATCAAGATAAGTGGATTTTTGCTGAGGACAATAATCAAGGGATACAAAGCCAAAAAGTGAGATTGTTTAAAAAAAAAAAGACACAGATCAACTATGGTCTAAGCAAATAGTATAGCTGGCTCAAGCAGCTGAAGTTTTTCTCAAGTCAGCGTGATGGTCAAGAAAGAAAACATTGAATAAACACATCTTGTTTCAAACATTTATAGTAGATGGAATGGTTTACAAGGGAAGTATCATTTTAAATAGAAAAGGAAACCAAAGAAACAACAATTAGTGTTCAGCAAATCTTTGATTATTAAGTGGCTTAATTAAACAAATCAAACTTCCAACTATTACTATATGACATAATTTAGACACTTACTGGGCAGAACCCGTGTTACAGTGGACCCTTTTTGTTTTCTTATTATTTTCAACAGGAATCCCATCTCCATTCAAATCTTGATCTTCACTCACCCTGTGATAAAGGAAACAAACTTCAGATTGAATAGGCTTTGAAATTTATGTCACTGTCTCTCAGCGTTGTAATTTTGGCCTTCCCTTAGTTTCACCATAAACCTTCAAACTCTTCTGGAAAATCTAATATTCTGCAGGTTTAGTGAAAACAGAAAATTATGAAAGCATCTGTGGAGGGAGTCACATTGAACTCAAACCATTAACTTTGTTTTTCTCTCTCCACCAGCCTTTTCAGTTTTTATTTCAGATTTTCAGCCTCTGCAGCATTTTGCTTTTGTTTTGTAGGTTAGGCTGTTTAACTAATGATTATTCTTATTGCATTATAATACTAGTACTGTAACCATTTTTTATAGTTTATTCCCTTAACCACTGTTGTGCTTGGTCAAATTTCATAGATTACATTAAACTGGGCAGGAGATAAAATGGATAATGTGAATGTGTAGAAAGAAGCTGAAGTTGAGTTTGATTAACTGAAACAATGCATCTTCCCACAATGAAAATAACAATCAAAAAAATGACACCACAGTAGCTGGATAAGAGTCGAAGAAAAGAAAGCTATCTTAACAATAAAACTAGACTTTAGGTTTTCTGCATCCAAACATTGTTTAACAGCAAATCGTGGAAATTGACAGTCAACCATCAGGATTTGGAATGTGCTGCCTGGGAACATGGAAGAGGCAGATTCATTTAAAGCATTCAAAACTGAATTGGACCATTGTAAAAGGAGGAAATTTATGGAGGGATATAGGGGAAAGGTAGGGAATGGCACTAAGTGCCTAGCTCTTGTACAGGGCTATACATACAAAAGCCAAATGGCCTCCTTTAATGCTATAACCATTCTTTGATTCTATAAACATTATACTGAGCTTTATTGCCAAAGGCAACAAAAATACAATTCTGAAATCAGTGAATCAGTATTGTGCTCTGGTCAAATTACACATGAATAATACTAATAATACAATTTAGAAAGATGACAACACCAATGGAAATGGTGCAGAGAAAGATACAACTAATTACTTGAGGCAGCGATATGAAGAAAGTTTGTAAGAACAGGGAGGAAAAATTCAGTTAGGCCTATTTTCAGGGGTACTTGGTTTCACTGAGGCAAGGATCTAAATGGGTTCAGTGTGTTCACCAACACAAAATGTCCTAATTGCTGCACAATGGAGACAGGAAGAGCTGTGCGCATGCGTGCGAATCAATCATAGAATCCCTACAGTGTGGAAACATGCCCTTTGGCCCAACAAGTCCACACTGACCCTCAGAGCATCCCACCCAGACCCATCCCCCATATAACCCACCTAATCTACACACCCCTGAACACTATGGGCAATTTAGCAAGGCCAATCCACCTAGCCTGCACATCTTTGGATTGTGCGAGGAAACCGGAGCACCAGGAGGAAACCCACACAGACACTGGGAGAATGAGCAAACTCCACACAGACAGTCGCCCGAGGGTGGAGTCGGACACAGGTCCCTGGTGCTGTGAGGCAGCATCGCAACGAAAAAAAGGAACCATATTTTTTTTAGATCATGCAAATACAATCAACTTTTCAAAGGTGCTGAAAAGATGGGTTTCAGCTTCACTCACCTTGTAGAAGAATCCTCATTCTTCTGCTTATCACCTTTTTCTATCTGCTTGCTTTCTTGATTTCCAGAATCTTCCTTGGTGATCTGTAGCCTAGATATCACATTCAATTTAAGCCTTTGTTATTTTTAAAATAAATCATACTTTTATATGGAGCACATTAGGGACATATCTATCACAATGTCTTTGCAAAATTTCCAGCTGCACTGCACGAGACAGGGGGAATGTCAGGACACTTTTCAATAGTTCAGTAAACTAACTAGGCAGAAGGTGTCCACTTGGTGAAATAAGGTCAGAAATCACACAACATCAGGTTATGATCCAACAGGTTTATTTGAAAGCACAAGCTTTCGGAGCCTCAGTCCTTCTTCAGGTGTTAGTGAGAGAGATTGTATCAGATACCAAATTTATAAACAAAAGATCGAAGGCTCACACCACTGATGGAGGCCCATATAGTGTTCAGGGGTGTGTAGATTAGGTGGGTTATAGGGGGGATGGGTCTGGATGGGATGCTCTGAGGATCAGTGTGGACTTGTTGGGCCGAAGAAGGTGTTAAACAAACCAAAGATGCTGTTAAAATCTTTCAGTACCCATGAGGATGGCCTCAAGCGGGATCTTTGGTTCATGTCACACTACATGTGACTCCACCACACTGTACACTCTCACGCACACTCACTCCACCCCCACACGGGCGTGCAGACATGTGAATCTATGGGGCGAATTTGTATTTGCAGAAACATATTTTGTTCAAAAAGCACATAATTTATAGACAGTCAGTCAATATGGCGTTTTATAAATTCCTACTTTAGAAATAAAGCCAGTCTGACTCCAAACTGAAACACAAACAGATTCTAAACAAGGCCTCACACCTAACATGTATTGTTTGACCTAAAATGTCACCTCTTCTTTACACCGATAAAACGTTTAGTTCTCTTAGAACCGTGACTTGAAAGTAATTTGGTGATTTACATACACATTAATCAATTAAAACCTTCTAACTGATTAAAGATTTAACAGCATCTTAGGTTTCTTTATCACATCCTCATCAGTGGTGTGAACCTTTGATCTTTTACTTATCAATTCTGTGTCTAATTCTACCTCTCTCACTAACACCTGAAGGAGGAGTGAGGCTCCGAAAGTGTGTGCTTTCAAATAAACTTGTTGGACAATATCCTGGTGTTGTGTGATTTCTGACCTTGTCCACCTCAGTCCACACAGGCACCTCCACATCAATGAAATAAGGCAAGAAGTTACAATTACGGTTGTCAGTGTTGAAAATAGAACAAATGTTGCTTTTGTCAAATAACCAAGTTGGGTTCCGTGGAAGGCTTGTCCCACTTTCAGTGATCAGTGAGACTAGATCACTGACCCTCATGTGTGTAGCATGCGAGATGGTAGCTAGCACTTAAAAAGAAATCCAAATGAAACAGTGATGTCTTGTCCAAAGCTTGAGAAGCCTGTGGCTGAATCAAGAGACATAGAGCTCTGTCTTTTAAGTGACAAGAGCGTAGGGGTTTTGAAAACATTTTTTTCATGGCATATGAGCATCACTAGCTAGGCCAGCTTTTGTTGCCCACTCCCAGCCGCCCTGGAGATGGTGGTGGTCATGATCAGCCATCTTCTCGAACCACTGCAGTCTATATGGTGTAAGTACACTCACATTGTTGTTAGGAAGGAAGTAAGCTTCAGAATTATGACTCTTAACAGTGAAGAAACATTGATATTAAAAGTGCATGGAATTGGGGGTAGTATACCAACATGGATAGAGATCATGGTTGGCTGACAGGAAACAAACACCAAGAAAAAACAGTTCGCCATCCATGCCTCTCCACCCCAAGTAGTAGGCAATAACGAGTGGGGTACTGCTGGGCTAAGTGCTTGGACCACAGCCATTCACAATGCATAGGAACAATTGGTTTGAAGGAACTAAATGCAACATTTCCAAGTTTGCAAACAACAAAGCTGGGTGTGACAGTGTGCTGTGAAAAGGTTGCAGAGATGCTTCAGTGTAATTTGGATAAATTGAGTGTGTGTGCAAATGCAAGGCAGATGAAATATATTGTGGGTAAATGCGAGATTATCCACTTGGTTAGCAAAAACGGGAATTATCTGAATGGCAACAGATTGGGAAAGGGGAGGTGCAATGAAACCCGAGTGTCCTCATAAACCATTTGCTGAAAGCATGTACGCAGGTGGAGCAGACAGTAAAGGCAGCTGATATGTTAGCTTTCATTGTGAGAGGAGGATTCAAGTATGTAAGCAGGTATTTCTTACTACAACTGCAGCAGCAAGGTGAAACCACACCTGGAGACCAGGTTCAGTTTTTGTCTCCTTATCTGTAGATAGAGGTTTTGGTTATGGAGGGAGTGAAACAAAGGTTTACTAGACTGAATCCTGGGATTGCAGGAGCAACGTAGGAAGACAGGCTGGATTGGTTAGGACTATATTCACTGGGGTTTAGGGCAAGTGGAGGGGCAAACTCTGAAATCTATAAAATTCAACAGGACTACACAAGATAACGCAGAAAGCATGTTCTTGATGACCAGGGAGCCCAGACCAGGGAACACAGTTTAAGGAAATGGGATAGTCCACTTAGGATACAAGAAGAGAAACTTTTTCACCCAGACAATGGTAAGCCTGTTGAATTCTCTACCACAGAAAGCAGTCGAGATAAAAGCAGTGAATTTTTAAGTAGGAGTTGGATATTATTCTTAGGGTTAAAAGGGATCAGAGGGTACATGGAGAAAACAAGAATCATGTCCTGAGTTGCATGATCAGTCATGAATATACTGAATGGTGCAGCAGGCTTGAGTGGATGAATGGCCTACTCCTGTTTTTATTTTCTATGTTTTTATATAGTTCCAAGTCTAACAGAGAGTGTGACTTGGAGGAGAACTTGTGGTTGAAAGCATTCCCATGCATCTACTGTCCTCATCATAAAGCGGTAGAGGTTATGTGATTTGGATTATACTGCAGCAGAAGCCTTGGTGGGTTACTGCAGTGCATCCTGTAGACTGCATAGTCTGGTGACACTAAGTCAGTGGTGAAGGAAGTGAATGCTGAAATTGGCAGCTGGAGTGCTAATCAAACCAGCTGCTTTATTGAGTCTTACTGGAGCCACACCCATCCAAACAATTGAACAGTACTCCATTACATTCCTGAACTGTGCCTCGGAGATAGTGGACAAATTTTGTGGAGTCAGTACATAAAACACTCTCCACCAAATTCCCAGCATCTGGTGTTCCTGTAATCACATTTACATGGCTAATCCAGTTCAGTTCACAGTGGTAATGCTCAAAAGATAGATGATGAATGGGAAGGTCTAGAGACACGAAGAATGATGGTCAACATTCGACTTGTGCTGTCAGTGATAATTGAAGCTACCACTAAAAGCAATTTTGACAGGCATTTGAGGGGAAAATTAACAAAATATAGTGTATTCAGATTTGTGGTCTGGAAAGATTACTTCTTTTTGCTGCCTACCAACCAGTGTTGATTCCATCACAGGAAGCTTTGAAAAATAATCAGCAAGTCTTCTTTTGGTCCTTTTGCCGAGGGCTAACAAAGTAGATTGTCATAGTGAACAAGATTGTATGTTACCCACTGAAAAAAGTATACAATTCACCTTTCTTGACAAGTGTTTTATACCCTCTTTGCTTATATAAAAATATACCCTCTTTGTTTATATAAAAAATAATGACTATTATGGTTTATGCTATAGAAGAGGCATTGAAGAAGAGACAAAACCTTCAGCAAATTTGAAATGAGAGAAAAAAAGATCAGAGCTACAAAGAAAGATGGTTAACGTTTGCATCAAGACTGAATGCATTCTCTCTAAAGTGCAGAAAAAAAAAATGAATTTGTAGCATTTGCTGTTTAGATTATAAAAGGAGTAAAAAATGACTGGTAATATGTAGATGGAGTCGTCTTCTAAATGATGCAAAAAAGAGGAGACCTTGGAGGGATTGCTCCATTCTACGCATTTCCCACTTTTCAATTTCACTCCAGAGAAGTGAAGAGTGGGGATCCCTCAAAGGGAAAATGCACGTGCCTGATGGAGGGTTTGACAGAGCTGATGTTCACCTGCTTTTACGCATAAAGTCTAACTTTCATTCTCTGCCACGGAAGAGGAAAGAAACTAGGTAGTGAGACAGCTCTTAAGGCAAAAAAGTGCTCAAGAAATTATTTGACTAAAACTCAGTTCCACAAACATTGTTTATCAATATCCTATGCCAGACAGTAATCCTCATTTCTAACAAAAGTAGAGATGATTTAAACACTTCCCATCCTACCCCTCAGAATGCTCATCTTCCTCCTCTGGAATTTCTTTGCTCGTCAGTTTTTCAGTTGTCTCTCTAGAATTACTGTCTGTTGATTTCAGCTCTTCATTTAATCTAAAATACAAGATAAAGCATAGATCATCAAAAATCTTTCGATTAGATTGTGAAAAATTTTTCACAAGACAGCCACGCCAGTTAGATGGTAAGGTTTAAAATTGTCAGTATTAGGCCAGAGTACAGACTAGTTGAGATCTTCAAAAAAAAGCATTGCTACTCAAAAGAAACAAACAATGGTTAACAAAATAAAATCATCCCTTAAGCAGAAACACCCATTAACACAAACTTCTACCTTGACTGAAGGCTAACCTGAATTTACCAGTGAGCAGCATTCAAATGTTCAATAATTCTGTTTATCAGAATTTACGTAACTGAACAAGGCTCTCAGAACATCAGTTCTGGAATAAGCCAGATGAAACATGATTCGAGTTGGCTAGAATTCAGTTTGCAAATGAAACAGTTTGAGAAAGAAAGAAGAGTTTGAACTTGTACTCCAGAAAAAGTGAAAAAAGGAAGTATGAAACACAAAAAGCTTAGACGATATACAGTAAGAATCTAGCAGTTAGGAAGAGGAAGTCCTATTCAGAATTTAGATTAACACAAACATCTTCCTGTTGTTTCTAAATTTACAAGGATAGAGAGATCCTATTACTTAAGAAAGTTGCTAAACATTTTAAGTGGTTAGAGGACTCATGGACTTTAATGCTACTTAGTGTTCAGAAAAAGTAAACAAAACAGTAAAGTGATGGATGTTCATTCTAGATTTTTCAAGCAGAATACAGGGTTAACGGAAAGATTCTTGGCAGTGTGGAGCAGAGGGATCTTGGGGTTCATGTTCACAGTTCCCTGAAAGCTGCCACCCAGGTGGATAGAGTTGTTAAGAAGGCGTATGGTGTGTTAGCTTTCATTAATAGAGGAATTGAGTTCAAGAGCCGTGAAGTTATGCTTCAGCTATACAAAAGCCTGGTTCGGCCACATCTGGAGTATTGTGTCCAATTCTGGTCACCTCATTACAGGAAAGATGTGGAAGCATTGGAAAAGGTGCAGAGGAGATTCACCAGGATGTTGCCTGGAATGGAGGGAAGGTCTTACAAGGAAAGGTTGCGAGAGCTAGGGCTTTTCTCTTTAGAACTACGATGGATGAGAGGTGACTTGATAGAGGTGTACAAAATGATCAGAGGTATAGATGCAGTAGACAGCCAGAGACTTTTTCCTAGGGTGGAGGTAGCTTTTATGAGGGGGCATAGTTTTAAAGTGAGTGGAGGCAGATATAGGGGAGACGTCAGAGGTAGGTTCTTTACTCGGAGAGTGGTAGGAGCGTGGAATGCATTGCCGGAGAGGGTAGTGGAGTCGGCCTCATTAAGGGCATTTAAGCGGCTATTAGATAGGCATATGGATGATAGTATAAGGTAGCGGTGGAGGTTAGATAGACCTTAGGTTTAGGGTAAAAGTTCGGCACAACATCGTGGGCCAAAGGGCCTATACTGTGCTGTACTGTTCTATGTTCTACTGTTAGGGTTGCCCATAACTGAACAGCACAAATTGGCTGACAGCTGCCCATGGCTAATGCAAAACAAGGCTGACAGTAACATTAAGGTTGTTGAATGCGCACAAGGACATAGACAATAACAATTAACATTTGATTAATATAGTAGAGCAATAGCAGCTCGATAAGGCATAGATAGTAACAACTAACATTTGACTTTGAATAAGAACATCTCTCACTAATTAGTTGTTTAATCAATAATTATAAATTCAAATTAGTTATAGAAAAGCATTAAAGGAAAAGATTCAAACCAGTTTCAGACAGTAAAAAAAAAACAACTCCCTTTATCATCACAGGGAGGAAAGAATACAGAGATTAGCAGACATTGGAATGTAGATTGAATGAACACGTTAAGACACAACTTGTTAGCTCAAGAATTCTAACATTAGGTGTAACCACATAACTTTGTTGAAAATGGTCAAAAAACAATATTATTTCCTGGAATTAGAGAGATTTAAAAAAGATTCTGAAGTAATAGGCAAATATCCAATTAATTGGTAGTTAACACAGTGCATCTGGCAAAATGTTACTTCAATTCGGTATCCATTGTGAAAAGCCTCAAGAAAGTAGATAAGAGTCTGGAAGACATCAAGAAGGATCGGGAATAGACCACAAGCGTGTCCCTTTGTCATTTTGTTGAAGCAAGTTTAAATTGTTCAGGATGCTGTACCAGACAGCCAATTACAGATGAACAACTCGGCTTTGATGACCAATAGTGATCTGGGGGTGGAGGGGGTGCAAATAGGCTCCAAGGGTAAACTGTATAAGTTAAGACGATCTGAAGCTTTTTGTGTGCTGTAACTGACAGGTAAATCACCATAAAGGTCGTCAGATTTTTGCGTGCCTTATTGTTGTATGATCTAACTGTGCTGCAAGTTGCAATAAAAACGTCACCTGAATCTGCCCCGCAACTCAGATTCACTGAAAATATGAAAACCAACACCTACCATTTAAGGCTTACGTCGGTAGAAGGCAAAAATCGTTGTCAGACATTTGTGAAATTCATGGGGAGGGGGGTGAAAAAAGAAATGTAATAGTTTTATTCATTTAAGTTACAGCAAATGTTTTGAAAACATGAAGGAGATCATGAAGATTAGTAAATTCAGGAATAGCATTTAGATAACAATCAAGCCCTAATTAGTTGAGTGTCAGGTATCCAAGGTCAATGTGACAGTAGCTCCGGCAGTTGTATTATATATTTTGTCAAGACAGCCACGTGTTTGTAAAAATGTTCATATCATAATTTGGAGTTTAATGAAAGTTAACATCTTGCATCTTGTACCCAGCATCGGCCATATTCCCCTTCTAATTTCTGGTCCAATCCAGCCACCAATTTCGAGTTTTACAGCAAGTGTCGTCAAATTCACTCAGGATCAATCGCATTATTTTACACCGAATAGAAGCAAGATATCCTCCATTGACAGACAATCTACAAAATTCATTTCTTAGACTCAGAGGTAAAAATGGCTACGAAGTGATAGATACTAAAATATCAGAACGTGAAAAATCAAAGCACAAGAAAAGCCATGGTGGAATAAAATGCATCAAAACTCATCCTAGCAAAAAAACATTACCTGCTAAGGCTACTTTCTTCCTTCTCTTGTCGTTTATTGGCAGTATTACTTTTTTCCTGCGAAGAATAATGTAAATACTAAATAATACTTGCATGTAAATAAATGTACTCAGCATTGTAATATCTCACACTTTTCAATGTAGTCATCTTCAGGTGTTGTAAATGATAACATTATGAAGGTGAAGGACAAGTTATAGTGGATTGGGAAAATAAACCAAAAGCTTTAGTGTTAGTGTCAACAGCTAGTACATATATAAATACTACTTGGTCTACAAGAGATATAAAATTCTAAGGCATAAGCATACAAACAGAAAGGTGAATCAACTGTGATTAATGGAAAAATTTAAGAAATGCAATAGAACAGAGGAAGTGGCTTATAAGGAAGCTTGAAATAAAAGTGGTTAACCTGAGGATTAGGAACACTTTAGAATCCAAAAGGACAGGAAAGAAACCGATTAAGAAAGGCAAAAGAATGTGACGCAAACTAGCAAATACCGTAAAAGCAGATTGCAAAAGTTTTTTAATGTGCGAAAAAGGAAAAAAGAATAACTAGGACAAAAGTGGGTCCATTACAAGAAAATCTGTAGTAGAGAAACTAAACAATTATTCTGCATCCTTTCCCACAGAAAGGAAAGAAAATTGCTCAGAAATACTAAGCTTTCAGAATTTAAAAAACACTGCAAAAATGCCCAGAGACTGATGGTAGCATATGTAACACCACTATTTAAAGGGAGAAAGAGGGAGTGGAGAATCTTTTAGAAAAGGGTATAATAGCTGTACATTTTAAGTAAGTGTAAAAATGGGCAGTTTCAACCTGGATTTTTGAAACATAAATCATGTTTGACATGTTTAAGCATATTACTAGCATGATAAAGGAGAACTAGTTAGTCTGGTATATTTGAATTTTCGGAAGACATTTGATAAAGTGCCATGTAGGTTACGGAGTAAAATTAGAGTATGGGATAAGAGAGAACATACCAGTATGGATTAGGAATTGCTTAAGAGACAGAACACAGTAGAAATAGACAGATCATTGTCCGGAGTGGCAGGCTCTTACTAATGGCATACCACAAGGATCAGTGGTGAACAGGTGTGTCCTTAGCAATGCTCTTGATGTTGGGGTTGAGTGAGAGGGGGTGGTTTGAAAGTTACAATATTTCCAAATCTACTGGTGAATAAGCGTGATTGTAAAGAAGGCAGCTGATCACCACCTTCCAAAGGGCAACTAGACATGGGTATTAAAAAGGTGGTTTAGCCAGCAATGCCCATATCCATGAGTGTGAAGTTAATCACTTTGAATGAAAATAATTTATTCTGTTTTTAAACTGGAGAGGGGCTGGAAAGTGCAGGTGTACAAATGGAATTGGGTATTCTTGTTCACGAGGTTCACCAGATTAATCTCTGGGATGGCGATTTTATCTAATTAAGAGAAATCTGTACTCCCAGAGTAGTGAGTAGTCGCAGAGCTCAGAGATGCAGGGAGATCTTGGTGTCTTCATGCATGAATCACAGAAGGTAGCTATGTAGGTAGAGCAAGTAATCAGAAAAGCTAATAGAACACTGTGGTTTATTGGAAAGGGAATTGAATGCAAGTGTAGCGAGGTAATGCTTCAGTTATACAGGGCATTGGTGAGATTGCAATCTGGAGTACTGTATTTCCATGGATGGTACTGTTTTAGAAGCAGTTCAGAAGAAGTTCACTCGACTAATACCTAAAATAAGCAAACTGCACTATGAGGAAAGACTAGACAGCCTGGGGCTATATCCTCTGCAGTTTGAGAGTCAGAGGTGACATAATTAAAAATATAAGGTTATGAGGGTACTTTACCGAGCAGATTTGGAAACAGAGCTTTTTTCTTATGGGAGAGAGTTTAGAACTAGGGGTCATATTTCAAAAATAAAGGGGTTGCCCATTTAAAACAGATGAGGAGATAGTAAGAACTGCCGATGCTGGAGTCAGAGATAACACAGCGTGGAGCTGGAGGAACACAGCAGGCCAGGCAGCATCAGAGCAGCAGGAAAGTTGACGTTTTG